ACGTTAGGGTTGAGCAAGCTTCATATCATTTGTCAGGAAAGCACAAGGAAACAAAATCCGCCGCATGCAAAAAAAGCAAGGTGCAGGCGCGCCTTGTTCTGGCCCCATTTCACGCGAGGATTCACTGTCTTTGCTGCAGTGTGAACAACCTGGGCTAGGCCCAAGCGATTTCGTTTCCGGTCTCCTACCTCTTGTCAGCACCAAAGTATCAGGGCCGAAGGCACATTTGTGACCTGGGTCATGTCAGCCGTGTTTTGGCAATTCGGCTCCCTGGTTGCGTTGGCTCGATAGTTTGACTATGTTTATTGCCTCGTATCTGCTGAGCAGGTCCCTCAGGTGGCTGACTTGGGTTGACTGACTTCTCTTGGAGAACGGCTATATAGCTTCCCGAATTGATCACATTGCCCATTCACTGTCAAGTACAAACCGGGCAACACGACCCCCGAGTTTGCAACCCTGCAAAGACTATTCAAAACAATGAAGCTCCAACTAAAACAGTGTCCGCAAACTGCTTGATTCATTTCAGCCTGGTGCCAGCACACTTGCACACAACGTAGCTTCAGGTGTTTATCCACTCGCCTGGGGTGAAGCATTCAAAGAACAGGTATTCACACAACCGCGGCATATCATGCCTACCCGGCTCAGTGTGTCTTGGGGATTTGTTTGTCACAAACATAAGCTGAGGCGTGTAAGGTGTCGCTACAACATGCTAAAGCAGGGAATCAAACAACTTCCACCGGCTGGTCTGGCCAGGGTGGCGTGATCTTGATCCTGCACCGGGGAACGGATCTCGGTTGTTTGCCAGTCGAACACGGAACCATGTGAGCAATGCGCAACGCGGCCATTCGCCCATCACGAGTCCTGGGATGCGCGCCAGCCATGCGAGGACGCCTGGGTGAACTTGGCAAATCCGCTGCTTCAAGCGACCCTATGGGCTGCATTGGCGACACGGATCCATTCTGTGCCCGCACGGGAAAAAAGGGAATTTGTGAAGGCAAGCATGCAAGGCTGGCAGTGATGCCGAGTGTGTGCACGTGTGTGCACCTTTGACAAAGATATACAAGGGATCCTGGAACCACTGCGTACAAAGGTCCGTGCCTAAACGCAATGAGGAGATAATAGTTTCTTGCCTATGACCAAACACCAGGATCCCTCTGATCTCAATGGTCTACAACAGGTTATATAGGTTTCTGGTGAACATATGGCTTGGAAAGCTTTGTCACATGGCTATGATCTTTTTTGAGGGTCTGTAGCGCGCGACTCGCCACATGTTATCCCAGCGGAAGCGACCAACCATACAAGACAGGCATCTCAGCAGGCAGGCAGGCAGGCAGGCAGGCAGGCAGGCAGCAAGCAAGCAAGCAAGCAAGGCAAGGCAAGGCAAGGCAAAGCAAAGCAAACCAAAGCAATCAGCAATGAGAGTTTGTGCATTGACTGATGTTGCCACAAGTAGCTAGACTTGCACCCAACTGCATTTTCATGGCGAACTTTGAAGCGCCAGACACAAGCTGCTGCGCTTGTAAGAGCCCTGCAGCGCCACACCATGTCGTGGGCCAGCCGGCGGAATGTGCAGCGTTCTCCTATCTTGTTGGATGGGCCAAGGAATATTGGGATGGAAATGCGTCCAAAGGATTTGAATGCAATCCCAAAGGACCCTGTCTTGGCAACCATTCATTCAAACGCTGTAGTGGACAGCTGTTTTGCTGGGGACTTGTAAGATAAGGGACCGCGCCCAGTTTCGACTGCATGCATGTCAGCCCGGAACGATTGCTTGGACGGGTCCGCTTGCGCCGTGGGGTCTTGCGACATATTCGCCTGTGAGCCGAATGACTGTGAAGGTCAAGCACAGGCCTGAAAACCACACATGAAGCCATGGAGCGTTGTCTCGAAACTGTGGACCCTTTTGGGATTTTTCTTTTGAGGCGACACTTTAATTCACCAGGGTCTCAACAAGGGATCAATTAGCCTGCATGCTTGCCTTCATTTCCCTCTCGAACGTTCTATTTGCCGAGTGAGCAAGCTCGGACAGTCGCAATGGAACAGTCCATGATCCCACTTTTATTCAGCCAAGTATGAGGGCCACCCAGCTGCAATCTTCAAACAGGGGGCTCCTGTTTACGGGCAAACCAAATACTCATTCCAAGCTGGCGGCCTGAAACGGCACCCCACAGCTGCAAAGCAGAACTCGTGCGCTTGCTACGCTCAGAAGCAGCATCAGTGCTGTCAGAAAAGGATCCATGATCGTAGCAACCAGGGGCGGACTCAAAACATGCGCCGCAGCCCAGCCAAGCACGCTTGTCTGCCTTGAAGAAAACCTCTCATACTTGTTGATGGTGGATTGTAATCAATAATGATCTACATCTCAAGTCTCAAGCCTCTCTTTCGAAATTGTTACTGTACCTAAAACAAATATCGACCACCTCGGTCAGTGCTCGAAGTGCCAACCGGCAAGCGACGCAAACAACAGGGGCAATGAGACTGAAAATAACGACCACTCTGGAAACATCGGCCATTTTTCGGCCAACCACAGAAGTGGACAATTGTACCTGAAGTCTCCAAACCCTTGTAGCTACCCGCAGTTCGGCGTCATGGCCCTGTGGTGTCGAAGGGGAATGCGCAAAGTGGTCCCATGTCCTCTGGGAAGTACCCATGGACTTGACAGAGATCATGGCATTGCTTGTTATTTTCTATTCTTTGAAGGTTCACAGCTGTCCTTCAACGCTAACCAGAAAAAGGCGTGTACAGCTGCTTCTTCGGATGGTCCCTGAATCCTTCCACAAGAGCAGGTTGAAGGTGGGGCTTGATGATTTTTGATGATGTCCAACAGCACAAACTTGTTGGATCCCGGCCCATGCCGTACTTAAAAAAAAAAAAACACAGTGAGTGCCCCCAGAAGCCCCAACTGGCAAACAAATAGCGGGGACTGTCCCCTTCCACTGGGCAAAATGCATGAAGAAGGGTCTTTCATTGGGGGTATGCCCCTTCCATACGCCACTTAGGTGGTAGGGATCTGCCCCTGGTAATTCCATTTTCGCGCCTTTGTCTTGCAGCCTGCTATCTTGCATGCTTGCCGCCGAGCAGGTAGTTGTGCGCGCTGTCCAGCTTGACACATGGACAGCTTGCCAAAGCCGCAGATACAAGTCCAAGACGCTTCGTTCATGGGATCTGGGCGTGTGTCACCCTCCATTGGCGGAGGTCAAACGCAAACCAACCAACAAACAAACTTCTTGGAAGGATGCTCTGGTGCGTGCCCAGTCCACCTCACCCTTTGCCCCCAGCTAACAATGACATGCTTAAATTCTGGTCAACATACAATGAACCATAAAATGAACACTTGAGCTGATGTGAACAGAGGTCCCAGCAGCCCATGAGAAGCGCGAGACTCTCGCCGCACTTGCCCTGCCATCACCACCGTCCTTCTTCAGCAAGACGTCCTTCGCTTCTCGATGCGTGATGGATGATCCTCAGCTTCAAGCCAGGCGGACTGGCCTGGGAGAATAAATTGTCTTTCAACACCGCTTGCCGACCTCATTGTAAATGAATGATAGACGTTGACAGGAATTGACTTTAGCAAGAAGGAAGCTGTTAATCCGGGCGCGCACATGACATTGCTGTCTGTTGCGCTGTGCATAATACACCATCTCAACAAGTAAAAACCTTGGCATAGACAGACAGACAGACAGACAGACAGACAGACAGACAGGCAGACAGGCAGACAGGCAGACAGGCAGACAGGCAGACAGGCAGACAGGCAGACAGGCAGCCAGGCAGACAGCCAGACAGGCAGACAGCCAGACAGGCAGACAGGCAGACAGGCAGACAGGCAAACAGGCAGACAGGCAGACAGGCAGACAGACAACCAGACAGCCAGACAGACAAACACAACAAACAAAGAAGGCAAAAGACAACACACAATAGCCAAACTAATAAACAAAGCCCGATCAACGCAAAACACACTAAAAACACGGCCAACAAGCCAGCTAGCCAGCCAACCAACCAAACAAACAAACCCAACCACTTTAAGTTGGCGTTTTCGCATTGGAAAGTGGGGCGTAGCACGACCTTGGGGACTACTCCGCGCAAAGCGTTCCTGCGTCATGGTCGCCCCACCCACCCACCCACCAACCAACCAAGCAAGCAACCAACCAACCCACCAACTCGCCAACCCGCCCGCCAACCAACCAACCAAGCAAGCGGGCAGGCAGGCAAGCAAGCAGCCAGCCAATCAGCCAGCCAACAACCCGCCAACCCACCAATCCACCAACCCACCAAACCAGCCAACCCACCCACCCCGCCAACCCACCAAGCAAGAAGGCAAGCAAGCAAGCAAGCAAGCAGGCAGCCAGCCAACCAACCAACCAGCAAACCAGCCAACCAGCCCACCAACCAAACAAAACAAACAAAACACACAACTGCGAGAAAACAAGTATACATCGTGGCTCGCGCCTCCGAACGCGGCAATTGGGGACATGTGCCCTCACCACACTGACGACACAACCACTTAGCGGGCACCGCGACCTAAATGAGGCCAAGCACGAAACAAACCTGTCCACAAGGAATGGGCAGCGGCCTTTGTGCAACTTAGTCATCTATGCATGTCTAACGGCTGAGTCTTTACATGTCCATATGGATAGATTAGGTCAGCACCCAAATAATTTGAATAGGAACCCCTACCCCCCCGTCCCCCCGCCCACTGACTCAAGGGTTGGCCTCTTGGCAAGCTTTCACGACGGCTAGCTGACACGTGGTGCAAACTGGCTCCTAGACTGCTTGCCCGTCAAAAAACAACGGCTGGCATACCCCTCGGCTCGTGAGCTGGATTTCAGACACCAGAGGTTCAGCAAGCTCAGTCGAACAGAATCAACGCATCGCTCCCAGACTCCCTACTTCTGCCGAGATGCAGGTCGGGAGGAAAAACCCAAGGCCTGTGCAAAGGCAAGGGTTCCTGGAAACAAGTGGCCTTTGGTGTCCCTTAAATCCCAGCAAGAGGGGTCCCCCAGTTTGGACATGACACAGAAGCTTGTGGTTTCCGACAAAGAAACATGCCATTCGCATGCTTCTTTGACCAAGACCCCAGCAGGCAAGTCAAAGACCGGTCACCCAAAAGCGACAGCACCTCTCCTGCTGTCCATGCCAAGTCAGGTGTGTCATGTCAGCTGCCCATGCCCAGCCATGCTGACCAATGACCCTGTAGGTTTGGATCCACAAGTTCCCCGTACCCCAAGGCCTCTCCAAGTCTCTTTCTGCACGAGCACTGCGTGTGAGAATGGTCAACATGTGCGCTGGTCCCAAAACAATCTGATGAATTACAAATAGACTCCAAGACTCCCCAGTCCGAATGACGTGTCTTCAAGTCGGCGTGAGTACCCAAGTTGATCCCTTCTGGGCAAAAGAAGAAACGGGCCCCTTTTATTTATTGCTTTTAGCAAAAAAACAAACACATAATAGTCATCATATGGTGAAATCAGTCGCGGACCAAGTTTCGATCTTGAGGTCGGTGGAAGTTGCCCCAAAATGATAAACGAGGAATCCCCGTCGCTGTGACTCTGACTCCGGCCTTTTCCAGCGCGGACGTGAACCTCTCGGTCATGGGGCGTCTTCCAAGGGAGGCACCGTGTCCTGGCCCGGGATGGGATAGAAAGTGTCTCCCCTTCCAAAGTGGACTTCCCATCCCTATGACTAGTGTACTTTATTGCTTGACTGAATTAAATAGGAAACCAGCCAGGAACAAGCTTCAAGTTTCCCAGTTCAAGAAGTAAGGCAAACAGAATGGGAACCTAGATGTCGGGAACCCACGATCGACTCAAATCAACTTGCCCACCTTCCCAAATAGTGAGGACTGCATGTGAATATTGTGGCAACATGTTTTTGTCAATGAAGGACACCTCACACATGTGCATTGGCACGAGCATATAGTTCTCAATGAGGGTTGCAAACGGTTACATACACCTTCACAGAGAGTGCTCATGCCACAATGTGGGCACTGGAGCCATTGAAGCCGTAAATACCGTCAACTAAGAAAGAAGGGCTAAGGAACCGGAATTCGCATGAACGTTGCTAACATGATAGTGCCTGGAAGCTTCCCTTTTGCCGCGGAAGCAAATCATGGTCGAGAGATGATGAGCAATGTCCATCTGGGCTATGCCTGTGATCACTAAGCCACTCCATCATGGTGTCCCTTCATGGAGCTTGCCTGTAGCCGCGGTTGCTCAGTGGGCTTTCCATGCAAGGCGCGGCCTTCCTGACTCCATCCCTGAAACTGTGGGACAACATGCCACGGCTACGGTAAGCCCCACTGGCACAGTTCGGGGTTGGAGTTTCTGAATGTTAAGCCGCGAGTCTGTCGAACTACATGCTACCATAGTGGACACTTGCACTGGATGGCGCTGGAAGCTGCTGTCATGCCTTTCTGCATTTACATTTTTTGACTTTAGAACGGCCCCCGCATGCATTGGCTCGTGGGAAGACTGTTGCGCTGCGCTCATTCACGTGCTTTGATTGAATATCAACTGTAGCCATCCACAATATGCAATGGTTACCCGAGAAATTATAAGTGCAAGTCACCCCGCATGCCCTGGACAAAAATATGGCATATAGGAGTGGGGTTCGGAAGCTTGGGCAACGTAAAGCGAACAGTCACCAAACTGTGCTGGCGGGTGGCCCAATTGATCCACTCTTGCAGCTGACAAAAAAAATGCAACTCTGCACCAAAGGCTAAAAAGGCCATGTTCAGTGATCACGGCATCCAGTTGTAGCGTCTGGCCTGTGGTCATGAGCATTCCAACTGAGTACTCAGTTGGTGAATGGCCAAGCCAGGCCCTTGGCTCATGGCAGAAAAAAGGCCGAAGAAAGGTTGCCGTTTGCATCTTCTTGGTCCCATGTTCTCACACTTTCCAAGCACCAGGAACAATTGCTCACCTTGTTCCAATAACCAAGCACCTGCCATTTTACTTCGAACATCCTCATTCCCGTGTAAGCGGACGTTGCTCTCGCCACCAGAGCTCGGGCCAGGTTGGATGTTGTTCGGTTGAACTTATTCAAAGAGCCGTGCCGGCTCAAAATCAAGTCATGTCAGACCTCAACTTCCGTCCCTGGCATGAAGGGCGTGTCAAAGCTCGGAACATGACATCGATTTGCCAAGACAGAGGAAATGCGACCTAAAAAAGAGAACGCATGCACATTCAAAAAGGACCACCACGACTTGAACAAGCGACTGATAAATCCAACTCTATTCGCGCAGCCTGAACTTTAGATACTCAAAACCCAAAACCACGACATGGCAGCAATGAAGAATCGCTCCCGTCCTCAAACTCGAGCTTTACAGCTCTGGGGCATCCTTGCCTGTCGACTGTGAGCAAAAAGCAGCTCGAAGCGAGCTTCAATAAGCACTTCAGTTCTGGCTTTGCTTGGCCGGCTTTCCCGCCTTCGTGGGGTTTGTTGTCGGTCCGAAAAGGCAGTTACGCATAAAAGAGTGGCCGCAGAACTTTATTTGATCTGACGCATTTGATCTGCAACTGCCTTGGCTGCCACAGCAACAAGCCTCTGGCCCTATGCCCAGCGTCCCCTTAAAAGGCAAGCTTGAAAGCGCACAGGCCCGCTTGCGAACACAACGGATTTTGTAGAAAATTGTCCGTATGTGGACTCTTGTCATTTACAGCGTTTTGTGAAACAATCATGAAAGTGGGCAGGGGACCTTTCTAAAGCCTCCTCTACATCTCCATCAACACAGAAAATGTCAACGTCAAGAAAATTTATTGAGCCAGTACCACGAATGGGGGTCGAGCACTGAGTCCTTCACAAGCTCTCTGGACAAGAAGCCCGTCGGGATGGGGCTGCATGTTGGGCAAACGAGCTTTAGGATGACAGTCCAATTGTCCACAGGGATGAGCTGCAAGTAGTGATCTGTCGAGCCAGAAGCGTGCGCCTCACTTCAAGGCTGAAGGACACGTTCTGGCCCCTCAGCAGACTTTCAGTCTGGAGCAGAAAGACTAAAAGCTGAGGCAGAGGGCACTTCAAGTAATAGGCCCCTTTTGATGTTGTCCCAGACGTGAAGAAGCACAATGCCCCTCAAACTGTCACAAGGATCCTGCATTTTGGCTGATACTCCACAGACACAATGAACAGCGACTCAGGGCTAAGGCATTCACACTCTGGGCCTGAGAATCTGCTTGTTTAGGGGAAACATATGGAAACATCCTACATGTGCCAAATGAGCTTCGGCTGGGCATGCTTCAAGGTGGAGTAAGAGGCAACACAAATATCAAATGTATCAGCTAGACTTGAGCCTGGCTACGACTTGGCTAGGTCGGGGGCAAACATGTATCCTACGTTGGCTGATTGACACCTCACCAGGGGAACAAAGGTTCGCCTGCATAAAAGCGTACGTGAAAGTTCTGGCATGGATCGACACAAGGCCATGGCGTAAGTGCTGGCGCGCCTTGCGAAGAGAAGCCGCCAACGCTCTTCCCAATTTGACCATGAATCAACAGGCCCGCGGCCCGCTGATCAAACAGTCGGAATGTAGTTTTCTTAAAGGTTTGACCAACGCACCCTGTGGGCAGTTCTTACATTGCCTTGGCAAACTAGACTTGTGCCACATGCTGTTGAGTTGTTCGCCCAATTGAGCATGCATCCAACAGAAAGCGACCCCAGCCAGTGAGTTTAGGATTGAAACCACAAACAATTCATGCCCCAGTCCCGCATTGTCCAAACTGCATACCGAAATCATCGCTGCTCGCTATGATTGTCCGCTCCTCTTCCAGTCAGTTTCTGCGAGAACTGGGAAGATGGTTTAATACATACATAGTTGGTTGTATCAGAACACTGGCTGGACTAGTTCGCCATACCTCCAAATACTGTACAGCGTCCCTTTTGTTGTTCAAGCATGTGTTCAACATTGCTCATGTTACCAAGCAAAGGCCTCCTCACTTCAAACATATTCTCAACATCAAAGAAAGCAGGGCACCGAAACTGATTGACGCATTTAACGTGCAACCAACAAGCGCATGCCATGCCCTGCCGCTCCACATACTATGGAAGCTTGGCCCCCAGCAGGTGCCACTGGTCATGTGGCAACAGCCGGGGTGCGAAGAAGACCTTGCACATGATTCTGGGCTACGCTGTTCGATTGATTGGAACTCCCTGGGGGGTCCACAGTGTACCTCCAAATAGAAGCACAAGACACGGAGTGCGCTCAATACGTGCAGTCATGTGAGACTCTTGCCGACCGAAGAAACCTAGTGAACAGCCAATGGCGAGCTAGGTGAACGTCTGGAAATATGCATAGCCTTTTGCAGGACTATAATTACGGTGAATTTGGGAAGAACCAAGGAGTATGTCCATGCTCTCAATCCTGTAATCGAGATTTCGTCCTGAGTGTGGACGGGTATTTCATCATGTCACCAAATACAGGCAGACTCACACTCTCAAATGACTGCTTCCGGTTTCCTTCTCAACTCACGGGAAAGATGCCAGGTGCCGAAATGTATGTCAACATGGAGGTCCCCTTGAAGGCTTCAATCCAAAGCCTTGACAGCAATCGTCAACTGCTTGCGGATGTGTTGGAGACTGCCAGGTTGACCACAGGAAGTATCAAGTAAACAAGTTAAACCCCATAATCCTTGTGAAGGGCTCATCTCAAAGCAGCGGTGCATCGTTTGACATATTGAACCTTGCAGGGAGAGAGAGAGAGAAAGAGAGCAAGACTCCCCAGACACAACAACGAGAGGCCTTGATCGTTACACACAAACTGCAAATTGTCGAATGGAACAGAGCAATGATGGCACCTTGGATCCCAGTTGCTCTCACAAAATGTAAATGAGCTTGTGGACCAATCACACCTGAAATAGGAAAAGGGCAAACTTCAAGTGCCACGGCAAACCTTTGAAATGGCCATGTGTGGTAGTGCCAGAAGTGAACCAGAGAACAAATCCCTGTTGGGCGCGTGCCCGCCTCTCGCTGAAAGGTTTCGAAGAGCTCTGGGCAGTCCAGGAAGCCGTAACTCGGAACCCACCACAAAAAGCTCTGGACTCAAGCTGAACTGTTGGCATAGTGTCATGGGACACCATTTAGTCATCAAGAGTGTCCCAATTTGGGGAGTCATTTCGCTCTGGGGGAAACGCCAGGGTGTATTATATATATATATATATTTATATACGTATGCAATAATCCGGGGTGACCAACATTAGCTGGACAGGAGTGTTACATTGGAAAACCACATATAACCAAATATAAACACGCGCACACTACGAGCGCCTTCTTGTGTTGCTGAATGGGTGAGCTAAAGTTGTCAAAGGGGCTGGAAACGGGTTGGCACATTGGGTGCTGGCCGCATGTCCTCCCGTCTTTGCGGGATTTTCGGGGAGAGCACATTCAACATACGGCCTGGTTGGTCCCTAGATCTTGCCGGGTACAGTTTAGGGAATCATCAGTATTGATGGCTTCAATCAGCAATCCATGTCAACATGGTGTCTATGATACAAACATGAGCCGCGACCACTTCCTCAAACAGAAAGGGATTGTCTTGGCCATTTACAGAAAATTGCACCCTCCTAAAGTGCAAAGGTCGGCTTGGCATAGCGGAGACACTCGACCTGCCCCAAAAAGCTAATAAAAACCAACATATCTCATTTACCAATATAGCAGGCAACAAAAGAAACCGTCCTAAAAAGCCTGAAGGAATATGCCTGGCTACAACTAGGCAATGACGTGGCCGGTTCAAGTGGCATAACTCGAGTCATGATCCATGCTTGGACTTGGCCAGGAGGTCAGGGCAACAGGTGTGTCTCAACCATTCACCAACCGAACGTACATGGCAGCATACGCATTGACCTTTCATGTTGACGTTGACCTCAGCAAAACCCACTTCCAACAGATGTGATGATGAAAGCGTGATGGTGGGTTCACACATTTCAGGGCACCTCACCCCTTACACGTCTGTGCTGCCCAAAAAACAAACAACCAGCCGTGTCCTTTCTCTTAGCCGCAGGCGCTTGGCCGACCTAAATGCCAGCCATGCGCACCTTGAGCACTTGGGGAAAAGAGCCAAGTACTCTGATCTCCCCCATGAAACATGCCTGGCCTCATTGCCACGCAAAGCTTAATTTGGCCAACATGACTCGCTTGGGGCACAAAGCGCGGATGCTGTATGGCGGGTCTTCAGGCCCACAATGTGCGACTGTCATTGACCATGTGCTGCCCATGTTCCCGCTTGATTTACACTGCAAAGCCATAAGATGGTCCTAAGGTTGGGTTGCGCAAAGTTATCGTTATTCTGGCGTAACCGGCCATGGTGACCCTGCAAAAAGCCGTACTGACCCGAGTCAGTGAAGCACGAATTGGCTGCGTGCAAATTGCTTCGCAATCAGAACTTGGCGTCTAGATCACCATCGTGTCTGGTTCTCCTTGACACGCTTGGAGTGTTCACTGTCAACCCAGGGCCAATGTTACATTGCTCTGCATGAATAAGTGGCAAATTCCTGGGATGCAATGGCTGAACATGAAAAAACATGCCAGCTGAGGTCTCAAACGTTCAGATCAATTCCAAGGAGACGAACTAACAACTCCTAAGCCTCGCAATCTCAAGGCTACTTGTACTTAACAAATGTTGAGTGCAAGGGAGTCATGACAGCATGGCAAGGGAACAACGCTGACTTTCAGGGATGATATCGTGCTCTCTTTAATCAATATGCAACACATCCTTGGCTATCCTGCATGCAACAACGGTTCTGTGAGAACTCAAGAACATCTTGAAGATGAAACCGTTCTGCTGAACATTCACTGAACCCATTCTGGAACACTGTAGACAAAGAAACCACCCGAAGTCTTGCCAGCCGTACGTACGTGGGCACACCATGGCAGAACAATACGAGCGCGGACTGCGCACATAACAATCACATAGCACATCACATGCGCACATTGCCAAGCAGAGCGAGACATGTCAAACTCTGTGACAGAAAGACTGTAATCCAAAAGGCACCACAAATGCAAACTTACACAGCTCACCCCACAAGAAAGCAAAAGCGCAAAGACACCAAAACAAACGAGGTCAGCGACGGAGAACACAACAAGCACCCAGTATAGGCAGGAATCCACAACCTAACACACACTGACCATATGAGCGACACCTGCACAACGAAACAGCTCGAACGAACATGGTGCAAGTCGAACACTCACGCAGGAATCAAACAAACAAACAAATACGCACAGACACAAACAAACGACCGGCAGGCCGACCGGGCAACAAACCAAACAAAAACAATCGAGCAAGCAAGCAAGCAAGCAAAGCAAGCAAAGCAAAGCAAAGCAAAGCAAAGCAAAGCAAAGCAAAGCAAGCAAAGCAAGCAAGCAAGCAAGCACAAAACTAAACTAAACTAAACAGACGGACAAACAAACAAAGCAACAAGCAAGAAAGAACAAACCAAGCCAGCAAACAAACAAAGCAATCAGCAAGCAAGCAAGCAAGCAAACAAACAAACAAGCAAGCAAACAAACAAGCACACAAGCACACCAACCATTCAACCAATCAACCAATCAACCAATCAGCCAACCAACCAACCAACCAACCGACCGACCCACCAACCAACCAACCAACCAACCAATCAACCAACCAACCAACCAACCAACCAGCCAACCAATTCTGTACGTATGTATATATATATATATATAAATCTATATCAATACACACTTTCAAAACCCACAAGCACACACGCCACACCCACGCACCACAATGCCTGGCTGAAATGCCGCGCCTTTTCTGCCCACCGGGCAATGGCAAATAGTGCCATTGGGTGCCAAAGGAGTGGCACAATGATCTCCAGTATGCCTCAGGCACGGCCCGAGGTTCATAGTGTCGAAGATATACACATGACATGGACCCTAGGACATGGGCATTTGGTGAGTAACCTCCATTTGCTCATGATAGCTTGGTGAGTCCACCCAATGTCATCCCCTCCAGCACAAAAAAGGACGGTAAACTTGATTGTTGCCCATATGAACTATCCGCACACCGCGACTGGTTCAACAAGTATGGGCATACCCGCCCGTACACAATACATGTACCTGCAAAGGTTCGTTTTTGCGGGCGCCCTTCCATACATGGCTTGGGGGCGGGAACTATAAACCATCCATCAGTGCGTTGTGCGTGGTTGCGACCTTGGACCCAAACGAATGCAGTGGTTAAACCACAAGCAAGCAATTATCGTTTGCAAAAGCCCAAACCTGTTGAATGTTGCAAAGCATAATCCTAAGCCCTAGGCTAAGACTAAGCAATACTAAACCAATACTAGCTAATCCAAAAGCAATATTTATACTAAGCCGATCCGGAGCGAGCAAAACTTTACGACACCCTTTACTAAAACAGCCGCCCAAACATATGTGCAAAAGGGTGGTACAGGGAAGCCCCAAAAGTCAAACAAATGAATGTTCAATCGGGGAAATTGAAAAACATACAATCTCTTGGCCAGTGCCGCCGAATATGAAACAAAGACTAAACCAATCATAAAAAACAAAAACGACTGAACCAGTATAATTCAGCACAAAAAAAATACTAATTAAGCTAATAGTGATCAGAACTAAACCAACACCAATTAATGCCGAAATAAGACTCAGCTAATCCTGAGTCAGCAAAATCAACTGAGGCCCGAAACAGCCAAATTCTTTGCTAAAATGGCCGCCCAAACATATTTTGAAGCGGGTGGTGCAGGGAAGCCCCTAACAGGCAAAAATTATAAAAGGTTTAAGGGGAGGAAATAGAGAAACAAAAGCCTCCGGGTCAGTACCGATGAATGCTAAACAAATACAAAACCAATCCTGAGGTTCCTAAAGACTATTGAACTAGTACACAGGAATACTAAACTAATACAAAAACAAACTTCAAGAACTACTGGGCCACCTCAAAAGAACACTAGATACGAAGCAGTACTTACTTAGAGACTGCTTTACTCGGCCCAACTGGTGCTCCCCCATTGCCCCCAGAATTTGTTTGAGGGGGGATGGGGGGGCTCTTGCGCTACCCAACATTAGACTTGACTCAATACTGAGCCTCAGTCTGCCAACGTGATCGATGATAGAGAGACGCCAAGGTTGACACGTTAACACAAGTTGAACAAACCGGGATTAAATACATGCAAAACCAGCACGAGGCAAGCAACAAAACAACACCGCAACGACCATCTTTGCCCACCCCAACACAGGTGACAGGCGGGAAGGCACCCACTTACTGGGGAGAGATGCAACCGGCCCACAGACTACGGCTACTGCTTGTTTGCTTGCTGCATTCACACCAACAAGTCATCCAAACAAGAAGGTAACTTCCAACAGTCGAGTATGTCTACATATATGTATTCCTGTATATATAGTGTATATATATATATATGATGTATAACTGTGTATACTTAAAACACTTTACCGGGAAAAACACTTTTGCGACCTCCGTTGCGGAGCTTTTTAAGGGCTGTCTTCACAATACAAATAATACACGCAGTACATGACGCCAAGTACACTTCGCACTTCCACAGCCCCAGATTGAACGCCGTGCAGTGGCACAGGAGGGGAGCCGTTCGCCAATCATGTCCGGAAACTGGCGGGGAGATCCATCGCCTTTCACGAAACTCTCATCAATCCTGCGCCAAACAGGATTAAAATTCGGCTGGGCAGTTGCACTCAACTAGACCCCAAAGCTTCAACCGTCAACAAGGTGTTTTGTGCTGGGGTGCCCATGAAGAGCAGCCCAAGCCGAAGGTGGGTGGACGAGCATGCGAAACTGCGCAAGGCCTTGCATGGAGTGTGCAAGGCACTGTGCGCGAATGATCAGGTATGTGTTTCTTGATAACCAGTGCTTGCAAGTTGGTTGGCTTCGGTTGCAAGGAAGGTGGGCACGTGGGCAGTCTGTGCCTGCTTGCATATGGAAAGGTCATTGTATTCAAGCATGAAGGGGCAGACCGTTTAGTCTCACGAAAGTGTTTGTCCTGTTTCGCGAAGCTTTTATGTAAGGGTGGTTTG